ATACATTTTTGAAATGGTTATATATTTGGATTTTTAAATTAAAAATCATAGAAACAATTTTCACTATTAAAGTTCAAATGTTTTTTAAAATATTTGACAAATGTGGTCTGAGAGACATTTCAACAGGTAAAGTGCTTGTCTGGCAGCTGGCCCTATACATGGTCCTAGGGTCCTTCAAGAAGTGATGCCTGAGTGTAGAGCCAGCCGTAAGCCCTGAGCACAGTTGGGTGTGGCTCCAAAAACCAAACAAAAATTTGATGATTGGAAAAATATGTTTGGAAATTTTAAACTTTTAATTATATACTACTTTTCCATTCTTTCACTTATTCATCTGTTCTCTCTCCCCTTTACTGAAAGTATACTTTAAAGAAAGGTAGAAATTTGTTTCTATTTTTTGTCTACATAAATAGCAAAAGTCTGATTTGGAAGCAAGTAAAATATCTAAATGTGATATAATTCAAGTATTTTATTTTTTAAAGACAAATGCAATTAATCTGTTTATATAGCAATAATTTCCCTGTTTTCTTCTTTTATTAATTAGTAATGGAACTTATTCCCAAGCATAATATTCTGATTATTTATTACTTGAAAAGCCTTTTTGTTTGATTCATTTTAATTTTATATATTGTTTTAATTTTATAGTTTTGTTATATTTTCTTTTTGTTATCATGCAGGTAGCATGGTATATTCTTCATAAAAATTTTTGCAAATATATATATGCATTTAAATAGATATTTTGCTGTTCACATTTATCTATAGTACCTGAATACTTATTCATCCCACAGTCCAGTGCCCCCACATATTTCTTTAAGTTCTCATATTTATATCAGAGGATGGTGATGAAACATTTTTGTTTTCATTTTATTAAATATAGTTAAGTACTATTATTTCTTTTCAACCCACTACTGGTTATTATGGGAGACAGTGATATAGCTGTGAAAACAAGAAAAAAACTGAGGCTAAAGGTATTTACAAGGCTTTGATTGAGAATAGCAATCTCAATACAAAGAAAGTCCTAGATAGAGGTACCAACATACATCAAATTTCAATTAAAATATTATATTAATGACAAAAGAAATTCAATAAGGAGGCTAGTATAAAAGTCAACTATGTCCTGATTGTTTAAGAGAAAGGAAAGGGGTATTTAGTGAAACAAATCTTAATTAAAATATGCATTTAGCAGGAATACATAGAAAAATACTAGTAGTTATAATGCTGTATCAACATATTCATATAAGTATTTCTTCAAATATATGTTTTTGCTCCATTAGTATATCAGAATATACTGATATAAAGCATCTGATTACATTAATATGAAAAGCTGTAACATTTAGTTTTTTAAATCAAGTCAATGTTTGAATACTGTTTATAACAGGAAGAAATCATTTTTATAACAATGGAAAGAGGACCAACAGGTTTAAGGTTTGTGCTTGTTGATATACCTCCATAAAGTCAACATTACTTATAAAAAATTTTATGTCATTAATATATAAAACATGTAGTATATTTCATAACTAGCACAAACATAGTGTACTATGCAGATGTAAATGAATAGAAATATATGAAATGTGAAAAATATGAGAAATTTCAGGTAATGTAATAATTAACTCCTAAAATGATTAAATAATTTTTCTTTGTTAAACAAAACTGCTTCAGAGCATAAATTGAAGAGGGATGTACAGTTGGATAATTACAGTTTAAAATTTCTGTTGTTTGTTATACAGTTACTGAAAAAAAATGAAAATGACATGATTTTACATGCAAAATCCTTAAAATAAAACCAATTCTGATGTATTCATTTCTTCCCCATTAATACAGATAACCATTATTTTATGGAGGGTTTATGATAAAATAAATGTGATACTGTTATATACAAGTGGAAGGATCTAACTAATAGAATATTTTTGTTCTAAAGTGTTGGTGTATTTATTCCCTAAAAATTCAGATTTGACTTGACAGATTTTAGTCTTAGTGTGTAATACTAAGGTGAACAAAACTTTATTAGACTTTCTGGGCCCACGGAGGGCCTTAAGAAAAGACAGGACAGTTTCTTACACAGTTTCTTCCATCTCCTATGAAGGAAATGGGGCTCACCTAACAGAAGGGATCATGGTGGGAATGCTTCCCCAGATAGGTGGTTGCATCAAGAAAAACTTCGGTGGAGGTCTACGTTGAGTTTTAAGAGAGACAGGTTGAAAGAAGTGTTTCTCTTCAGGAATAGAAAGGCAGGATCCTTTGAAGGACTATACCTTCTGAAAATAACTCGCCACTTTCCCTGCCTTTTTTCACCATTTAGGGCATAGTTTGCATGATTATAGGCATGTACATAACACTCTGTGTGTCTGTACTCTGTGTGTAAGTGTATGAAAGTCAGAGAAGAAGTATTAATAATCAGAACTATTACTAATGATTTCTAGCCTGAAAGAAAGCAGACACTATTTTTACCCACAGTGTGCCTATATTTACACACATTACTTTATACAAAAAAAAAAAATACAGCCAAAAAAAGAAAAGAAAAATTTTGCAAAAATGTTTTATTTAAACCTTTAAAGTCCATTACAACAATAAAATATTACATCAATATAAATCCTTGACTAAAATTGTTCACATCAAACATTACAATAAATTGGTTTCTTTGATACCTAACTCAACTTTGAAAGTTTCCTTTTAAAACCAATGCAGAATTTATTGAAAATAAATAAATGTTGGCAACTGCAATATAAGCAATTTGAGTAAATAGTTGAAAAGCAACTCTTAATGAATATAGTGTCTATTATAAATCAGTTACTAAATGAATAAACTAAATGATCTTTTTTAAATTAATAACTTCAAAAATGTTTAATATACAAAACTGTACAATTCTAAAGTCGGTAAAAATATTTGGATTAACTCAGGTTTGTTCCATAGCACTTAACGGCAAAGAAAATAAAATTGAACCAAACAAAAATCCTAACAGTTGTAAAATATGAACTCAATGTGAACAAAACAGACAGCAATAAAAGAATCTTCAGGAAATAAAATCCAACCACCAATAGAATTCAGGGTCAAATGTTTAACAACAGGAAAGAAACAACCAGAAAGACTAAGATTTGAATTAATATGTGTACTTCTACCTGCAGCTGGAGGAGACAGAGTTGTAAACCAGAGGTCTGCCAGCCCATATTACCATTTTCTCAACAAGGAGCATGGGCTTTCTGGCCCCTAGGTAGTTTTGAATCTTTGTCTTAGCAACATTGCCTCCTAGCTTCACCATGATGCTAACTGGTACATATGGAACCCACAGTCAGATTCTGTAAGCATTGGCTATTATTATTGACTGCTTGGCTGACCAGGTACATGTGTATTCATTGGGAATGAGATGAACTTGTGGAACTGGCATGTGAATATGAGAGCTAGCAATAAATCCACAGCAATTGCACATTTTGAGAATCTCTACACAGTCTAGCAAGATATTGTAGTTGTTGCTTTATGAAAATAGTAATACAATGCACACACCTATCTAAACATGTTTCCATGTGCAAGCATGTGGACATACATAGAGATCAAAGACAAGAAGAATGGAATGGAAATGAATAAGCACAGGAAAGAAAGGAATATAAAAGGTAGAAGGAACAGGAAAGAAGGAGAGGGAGAGGGGATGAGAAGCTCAGGAAAGAAGATAGAAGAGAAGAGAAGTAATCCAGTCACCAAGGAGTTTTCTAGCTACCACTGTTGTTCTCTTGGGTTTCTATCAGGTCAGCTTGTTGGAAGAGCTGAGACTCTTTGCCTTTAGTCCACATAGAAAGAGAACAGCAGAATAGATACTGGTTAGAATCCATCATAAAATCTATAAGCTTTTCCCATTATTTAATTGTCATTTTATACCAGGTAGAGAGTGCCTGTCCAACACCCCTTGCCATCTTCCCAATGTTTTGTTACTCTGGAAGCAGCAATGAAGTGGTGGTAAATAAACTGTTTAGTATTCTCTGTCACTATTGTCTCTAAGTTGTGGTCTCTCGAGAAAATCATTATGCCTCAGAGGTCAGATATGAAGTAGCGCTGGTAATATGGGGTCAGTGAGAATTCCTTGTGCAGGCATTTCTGAACCCTGTGGGAGCCTCAAAAATTCCCTTTTCCCCCACCTGGCACCGGAACTGATTTATCCTTGAACACTTTAATCTGTGCTGTGTAAACCAGCAGGACTCCCTAGTTCCAAACTGAGGGCAGAAAGCATCAAATTACCTCTCCTACTTTGAGCTTGTTTGCAGACTCAATAAGCTTGATTATTCTACCCATCCTAGGCACTCTGCCCCTAGAAAATCAAAACAAAACTCCAATATGATCCACAACTACTAGTTATATTCTTTCTTATCCATACAGATTTGGGATGCTCAGTGGATGCACAGGCATCTTTTGAATTCCTCCTCCCATTATCCCTTCCATTTATAGTCAAATAAAAAACACCAGCTCAATGAAGGAATAATAATAGGAAAGGAAAAGTAAAGTGGTATATTAGAAACAATTTATCTCACAAATATTGTGTACAACTTGTAGAAAAACACTTAGATATTCAGAAATGCTAGAGAAGTACAGTTCTTAGAAATGCAAAACTAGTCTACTGTAAAACATATTTCACCTGAAATACTGCTGCTATTACCAAGGCGCTGAAAGGTTTTTCTGAGGCACACATCTGTCATTCTCTCTCCTTTATCCCTCCCCCACCCCCAAGTTACTCCACTCACTTTGCTTTCTAGCTGGAGCAACCAAAGGAACCTCTAAGTAAACAAGTTGTATTGGGGCAGAGTTTGGAGAAAACTGTTGCCTGCGCAGGAGGTCCGGACTGTTTGATGCAACTGAAAGCCCGTGAGAGTGCTTACTTACTTTCTTACGTAAGTTAGAATTCCGTTTTTTTTTTTTTAAAAAAATTAAATTTGGAAGAAAAAAGAAATGGGCCAGGGAGGGAAGAAGGGGGAAGAGAGAAGTGGGAGGTGGGAGAGAGAGAAGGGAGCCGGAGAGGGAGGGAGAGAGCGCGGAAAACAACCAAACAAAAAAGCTGGAGGGAAAGAAAAAGAGCGAGAAAGGAAAATCTGCGCTGCTTCTAAGGACAGCCAGCCAGTTCCTCTCTCAGGTGCAGTCAGAGATCTTGGCAGGACGTGTCTGTTTTTAAGGTGTGAGAATAAACCTCTTGTGGCTGCTGATCCCCTGGTGGAGTCATTCTTTTCTCTTTCTGTCTTCGATTGCAGAACCAGACACGCACCACTTCTTTCTCCAATTGTAGACTGTCTGCCAGCGAGGAAATTTCCTGCGCGGCAGGTTTGGGACACTTAAGGAAATGAGTCTCCAGTACGCCCTTGACACTCACCTCAATTGAGGTTCGCTTCTTGCGCTTGCGGCCCTGTGCTGCGATCTTGTCAATGCTGGTCGGGCTTCCTGTGGATGAATCAGCCTCCTCCAGCCACTTGTTTAGTAGTGGTTTAAGCTTACACATGTTCTTGAAACTGAGTTGCAAGGCTTCAAACCTGCAGATGGTGGTCTGTGAGAACACATTGCCATACAGTGTGCCCAGGGCCAGCCCCACGTCCGCCTGAGTGAAGCCCAACTTGATTCTTCTTTGTTTAAACTGTTTTGCGAACTGTTCCAACTCGTCGGAGGTCGGTGTTTCCTCGTCAGAGTGATCCTGGCAGTGGTGCAAGTTTAAATCACCATGGTCTGGGGGCTCCCGGAGCACGGGCTGTAGGCTCTGTGTGGGAGCTGAGACCGGAGGTGGGGTAAGACCCCCATGTTCCAGCATGCCGCTCACCGTGAAGCCTGGCTGCGAGTACACGTTGAGGGGTTGGCTGCTAGACGTGATGGACGTGTTTGGAGCGGGACTCGTCCCCCAGGCGTTCGGGTTGCTAGGGTGCGGAGAGTGGTGAGCGACGTGCGGTGAGCGGTGATGAACCATCGAGCCCAGTTGCAGGTCTTCGCGCCCGGGTTTCACGTCCTGCTGGTCCATAGGGCTGGTAGCCAGTGTGGAGGACCACGGCCCTCCTTCGTTCAGATTGGTCACCCAGTGTTGTCCCAGGGGATGTCCATTGCTAGGAACTCCCTGCAAATAATCACTTTGGAGAAGTTTCTGAGGATTCCGGAAAGAACTCCCTTGTTGCATAGTCACAGAATCTGTATGGACTAGGGAGCTGGAACTGAGAAGGCTGTAGGGATTCGAGGCAGCTGTGGCCATGGTCTGTGTGGATCCCCGTAGTAGTTGTAATCTGGCGAAGGGAGCAGCTTCAGCCTTTGACATCTACTGTGCAGGGGGGAGTCGAAGCCGCGCGAAGGAATTATGGGCAGCCACTGTGACCAATCGCAGAGCTACTTTGCAGGGACAGCTCAGAATTCAACCAGTGACTGACTGGAGGACGGGATCGCTTTCCAAATTAGGCTGGTAGAGCTCCGGAGTTTCGGTGAGACCCTAGCAGGAAGTGAATCAATCTTTGGGTTCCTTTGGTTTTCTTCACCCCAGTGACTGTAGTTTATTTTGTTAATCCTCAAGCCCCCTTCGTCACCTCCTCTAGGATAGATGGGGTGTTTGTAGTGGAGACGAAAGGATGAGAGGAGCGTGTTTGTTCCGGGCTGGTGAGGGGCGGGGGAGATTTAAGAAGGGGATGGAGGTGGAGGTGGGGAAGGGAGAGGCGGCAAACAGCTTCAGATTATATAAAGAAAAAGTATTAAGAAAATAAAATGACCAGTTTCAATATCATCTGGGTATTTTTCTCAGATTAATTAGACACTTTGAATTGTGAACAAGTTCACGATGCATCTAAAAAGGGGGTATGAAGAACAGCGAGATTTGGAGAAAGTAAAATCTAATCTGATAGTGTAAAAATGTAATTATTTAAAAATTTGTCCAATCCAATAGGTGAATTGTAAGATTTATGTTTTATTACTGTTTCATGTCAGCATGTCAGCTTCAATCAGCTGCCCCACAATTTATATCAGTGGCTGTATTTCCCCAAGTGGAGAGACAACATACCATAACCACAATTTCAATAGGTATACAAGAGAAAGTTTAATGAGTCCTATGCTTTCACCTAGGGAAAATGATGTTTTACACTAGTGACTCCTAAATCCCAAAGTTGGGGACTCCTCCAAATTGAGGTAAATGGGAATGAATTGTTTAGTGGCCCTGAAAATTTAGAAAGAGGATGAAATGAGAGAGTGAGAGAGAAGGAGGGAGAGAAAGAGTTGGAAATCGAGTACTCCACATTTCCATCAAGTTTGAATTTTCTTTTAATTTAGGAAGAAAGGACCATGTTTATGTTTTTGATTGGAGAGATAGAGAGGATAAACATGTATTCCTCCTAAGCTTTTATAATTTGGGGAAGTAAAAGTTTTTGTGCCTCCCAGCTCCCAGCAAAGGTATTGCTATTAAGCAGAGTAAAATGAAATGTAAAGATTACATATTTTATCTAGCTGGGAAAAGGCAGTATAGTATGCCTAAAAAATTTCTGAAGTTAAAAAATTGACCTCTTGTTGAAATATTTTGGAAGTAACTTAGTTGTATACTTATATTTGTACTTATAGAAGGCAGCACTAGAGTTTCCTTATTGGTTTGAAATTCCATTAAATATATTGCAAGAGCTTCTAGGTTAAGCTTGATTTAAATTTGCATACATTTTCATATATTTAGCAGAAATAAAAGAAGGCTTGCAGTTACCAGAAAGTCATTAAGGCAATAGTTTCTCAAAGAAGACAGATCTGAAGAAAATATGCGAAAATAAGAAAAAGAACAAGGTGAGCTTATTCTGCCATTCCTTTATACAACTAGAGAGAACGCATTTCCTGAGAAAAAGTGATTTCTTTTGAAAGCACAGAGAAAGAGGCGATTATATTGGTAAATGTAAATTGTGTCTATTAGGCAGGAAAATCTGACATCTGGTTGCAATCTTTTCCTATCTTAAAAAAGGTTAAGCACTAATAATTATTGATGGAAAAGAACATTTGCCACCTGAACCCCCTACCCTTTCTCTCATCAAATTGGGGTTTCATTTGCTGGTATCCTACCATAAAGGTTTATCTGTTTTAAATCTAAAAATTACTTTTTCTCTATTTTCTACATGAAATATGGTTCTTTTATCGCAAGCCAAGTGCATTTTCTTTGGTAATAATTTAATCTCATTTATGCCTGAACTTTTGTTTCCTGAAGAAAATATAACTTGCTAAAATAAAACAAAACCAAAAAAGAATAGATACTTTGTTTTGGGTTCCTGTTATACAGTACTATTGCTAATCTGTTTTGATCATTTTATAGGCCAGAGTTGAACATATTAAATTAAATCATAAATGTGGGGGCAGGTGGGAGAAGAAAACTGATAAACATTGTCATGTTGTTGGTAGAGGGTTTCACATCCTTACTACCTCCATAGCAGTGAATGAAAGAGTTGACAATCTTCCTCTGACCATTCAGGAGGTTAAGGGAATTGCCAATTAATAAGACTTTTATATATGAAGAAAAGGGGGGTGGTTCTTTTCCAATTTTGACTTGACGGAGTTCAGACAATTAACCATCCTCTTGCTTATGGCCTCTGCTCTTGGGTTTGGTCAGTTTTACAAAAGTGGCTCAAATTATTTACCCCCAGGCTTAGGGGGTGGAGAGTAGTGAAAAGCTAGCAGAACTCTGTACTGATTTAGGTTTTTCATGCTTTTTCTTTTGATTCAGTGTTTTATAGTAAGGATAAGTCATATGAGGATCCAAAACTAACAGTCATCTTTTTCATCTCTTTTCCTTATTCTTTTCCTTTCTTCATTTTTGTTTTCCAATGAAAATAGATACCACCTAATAAATTCAGGTACAATTACATATTCTAGCATTATATTAATGTCTTCTCTTAAACTGTTGTGGTGGTGTTTTTTTTTTTGAGGAAAATATCTGTATAAGACTCCAATCTTCTCGCTCTTTCTGACTAATCTAATGGTTAGGTTTCTTTAGCCCTCTCCTGTCAGTCTAACTTCCCAAGTGTAACAGATGCCGCTCTCAAGCTCTCCTTTCTGTGGCTTCTCTTTATTCAGCCTTGAATATTTCTCCCCATGATCTGGGTTTCCATAGAGAGAGGAATAAAAGGGGGGACCATGGTCACAAATCCCCTGCCCCATACAAAATAAAAGAGGCTGATTGAATAGACGACCTCGTCTGGACATGGGAGAAAATTAAATCTATTAGAAGCTACAGTTGCAAAAACTTGGCAACTAATTTTTCATAGACTTCATTTTGTTTTAAATACAAAGTTATCTCTTATAAAATTATTCTCATAGGTAGCTGGCAAATATACACAATTTAATATTACCTTCACCGAGATTTTAAATTTCATTGTTGGCTCTCAAACTGGATTTATACCACCCCCTCTAGAGCTATAGTTTGTATATAATAATAGCTGTTAAACTATGTGGACAGGAGTAGCTAGAAGTTGCTTAGGAGAGGAACTCATGGAGAAGTAAATAAACTTATTTTTAGATAATATGTACATCTCTCTATATATATCCAGGCAGCAGTGGTTTTAATTTTATTCCAAACTACCACAGTGCATATGATTCATTTTTTTCTTGAATCACCTTCACACAAAAATTTTGCACCTCATTTTACAAACTTTGACTTCGATAGGATAATTCAGTTAATTTCTTCTATTAGCATGTCAGATTGACTTTTTTTTACTTCTTTGTGCATCCATTTATTTTTAATCTTGGAATTTACAGTGCTTCTCCTACCAAATAAGATTTGAGGGTGCATATCATTTTCCTGAGCGACAGTTCCCTGGACAATTTCATAGAGCAGAAGGAATTGGAAAATAAATTAAATCCATTGATGTGGTCCTAAACTAGCTTCTATAGAAGCTTGGTCCTAGCTGGGTAGGCCATCCAGCCTCCTTCAGAAAGTTACTACAGCCATGGGTATTATGCTTCTTGTAAATTTCATATTTGAGTGTCGATTGTGAGATATTCTCATTATTCATAAAATTTTGGGTACAAGGAAGCAGTCTGGACTCGGGTGGTGGGAGATTGGAGCTGGGGTTCTGGAAAGCAATGTAAAAGAATGAATTTAAATATGTGCTTTATACTTGAAACTCTTGATGGTAGAGGTTACTCAGAAATTGAAATCCTTCATCTTCACCACAATTTAATTTGGAAGCAGAACAAATTAGATTGGGATTCATAGCAAGATTTTAAATAATTATTTTTATTTTAGTTTAGGTAACATGTTTACCATAGTGTAAACATTTATAACAATGATATACAGTAGCAACATGTATATTTAAAAAATTAACTGAGAGTATGTGTTGAGGGTAGCCATAGGCGGAGAGAAACAGTTTCTGAAAGTGTCAGTGATGAAGCCTTTCTCCTAGTACATGTACATTAATCTCTTTACTCATTCTCTGTGTGAGACATCCATGCCTTTCATAACATCAACCCACAACTAACTCCTCTTATAGTCTTCCTCCTCCTGTTCCTCTTAGAAAATTGTGTGAGGGGGGAAATAAGGGGTTTGTAATGTTCTGGGGGAGAATTAAAAAAGCAGATGGCATTAACATGGCATTAAAGAGACTAACCAATACCAATTTGAACTTAATTCGTTTTATGTGTTAGATCTCTTTGGTTTTTCTTGGATGGGAAGAAAATATTTTTTAGGGAAAAATAATGGAACAGAGAGTAGTAAAAGCATTAGTGTACACTGAATTTTCCAGCAAATACTGGATAATTAAATAAAATATTCATCATAAACCATTTATTTAAATACCCCAGTCTGCAAGAACAACAGTCATGCTAATGAAATCCAATGTCAGTGTGAAAGTGCTGAGGCTTTGTGTAGCTGGAGTGTTGCTGGTTAGAGGATAGAAGACAATAGAGACCCTCACTACAGAGGGAAAGGATTCTTGTTCCCACCATAGCACTGGCAAGGTCACATTGATCCAGTCTCAGTTTCTCTTCTGAGGTCACTTCTTCCTTTGCATTGCTTTTGTCAGCGGTTGAACACTGATCTTATAGGGTCCCAGGAAAAGAGCTCTATAGAGACTGAGCTATTGTGCATTTTCTCTGCATGGCTATCATTTTTCCAAGACCGTAATTTAGGGTGTCTAGGAATCATCATAAGTATTTGCAGTCACTTGTTTTTGTGCTGCAAACCGAGTCCTGTTTTGAGGAATCCAGTTGATGACATAACATAGTCCTCATGTGGAATTACTAATTTTTTATATGTAGTCATGGAATGTTTGTGAATATAAAT